AGATGAGGCGCAGCGGCTGCAAGACACTCAAGGTTCTCGTGCCTGTCCTCAAGGACGTCCGTGCCAAGAGCACACCCACCCCCGACGGACGGAGGACAGACAGACTCAGACTCAGCAACAAGACTAGCGGCGTAGTCTAGACGACAGGCAGCAGCAAAGTCAACAAGCTCAGCGACTAAGGCAGACGCAGCAGCAGACTCAAACGACGAGTCAGTGACAACAGTGGCTAACAGACGCGTGACAGTAGGGTGCGCAGCACGAAACTGGTCAGACTCAGAGTCTAGAATGTCAGGTAGAGAGGACGCAGGGAGGGACGGTAGGGGAACACGCTGCGGAGCAGAGGAAGGACGAAGGGCGACGAGGTGCGCGCCGGGGACAACCAGTGGACGCTGACGAGGAACACGATGACCGGTACGACCAGGACGAACAGGCGAGACAGGACGCGACGCAGGCTCACGACGCTCAGCAAGACCACCGGGCTGCTCAGTGTAAGGAGGAGGAGCAGGGAGCGGTGAGCCAGGTAGTAACAGAAGACCAGTAGACGACGGGAAAGGAAGAACCTGACGAAGAACAGAGGCAGACGGCGGCAGAGACGACGGAGACGGCGGAGCGAAGAACAGTCGTGTCGGCGCAGCTGCACCAGCACCAGCAGCTCCAGTACCTCCAGCAGCTTTAGCAGCTCCAGCAGCTCCAGCAGCTCCAGAACCTCCAGCCCCAGAACCGGCACCTCCAGCTCCAGGGTCTCCAACCTCAGTGTCTCCAGTAGCAGCACCCCCAGAACCAGCACCTCCAGTCCCAGGGTCTCCAGCCGCAGTGTCTCCAGCAGCAGCACCCCCAGAACCAGCACCTCCAGTCCCAGGGTCTCCAGCCTCAGTGCCTCCAACAGCGGCACCCTCAGACGCAGCACCCCCAGCCCCAACAGCTCCAGTACCTCCAGTACGAGCACCTCCTGGACCAGCGACTCCAGCACCTCCAGTAGACAAAGTACCAGCACCACTCCTAGCTCCAGGGACGTCAGCAGAAGTACCTCCAGCAGCAGAGCCCCGGGCTCCAGCAGCGCGACCCTGACGGCGACCGTACCAGTCGTGCAGCTGCTGTGAGGTGAGAGGCACACGCGGACGAAGGCGGCCACTCCAAGGAGACCGCGCACCAGTAGTCCCAGTACCCTCGGGCGTCTCACCTCAAGACTCAGCACCCCCAGACTCCGCACACACAGGCTCAGCACCCCCAGACGCAGCACCCCCAGGCGCAGCACCTCCAGGCTCCTCACGCGCAGGCTCAGCACCCCCAGACTCCGCACCCCCAGACTCAGCACCCCCAGGCTCCGCACGCTCAGGCTCAGCACCCCCAGGCACCTTACGCTCAGCTCCGCATCCCCAGGCTCAGCACCCCCAGCAGGACCCGAGTCACCAGTGACCTCAACAGGCGCAGGCACGGGAGGGTCTACCTGAGAAACACCTGAAGGAGCAGGACCTGGCGCGGGGAGGGGGTCTACCTGGGAAGGACCTGGAGCGAGAGCGAGCGGCGGCAGGGGGCGAGGGGTAGTGCGGTTGGGAATGAGACGGTAAAAGGGGACGGACTCGTCAAAGGTGACGTCCTGAGACACAAAGACACGGCGCGAGGTGGGGTCGTAAAACTGCCAGCCAGGCGCGTCAGGAGGAAAACCAAGGAAGACGCAGGGAATGGCGCGAGCGGAGAGCTTGTCCGCGGTGGTATCGCGCGATTTTCTACCTAGGTGTTACACTACTCCTCGTCTGATTCAGGCTCTAGGCAGTTGTTGCCAAAGAAGCCATCGGCGATGATGTCGTCGTCGACATCCACTTCTGCCGACAGCTGAGTCCGCCTGTGCGCCATGGCGAGGTGGTCCTCACTGCCGTCTAGTGCGTTGCTAATGCCGCAAGTGAGGAAGGCGCGCTTGACAAGGTCGGAGGGTACTGCTTTCCACGCCCGTGAGATCCAGCGAAGGACCACTGCTGGGGGGGGCTTCTTGAGGTTCCCTGCACCACAGCATACACACCACAGGGAAGGTTATTCAGCAGCCAAGGGTGAGAGGGAGGGATTAGGCATGCGTGAACTCCGGCTACAACGTACCTGCTGCTGTCAGCTGCTCTTGGCCCTCCTCCTCAAACCACTTCTGGTACTGCTGCCGCACAGATGCCTTGAAGCTCTTGTTGATGGAGACATCGAGAGGCTGGACTTCAGCCGTACATCCCGATGGGATAACTGCAGGCACGCGGTTGAGCTCGCGTAACTTCTCCTTCACCCCCTCGGTAAGATGGCCGCGGTAGGAGTCCAGCACGAGCATGGAGCTCTTAGCAGACCTGCCAAATCGGGGCTTCTAAGAACGGCTTGACGCACTCCTCAAGACAGCGGATGACGCAGTTAGCATCCATCCACCCCTTCTCATGGCACGCGACGACCACATCTACACATACAAGAGGAACATAAACAGTTAACGCGACATGAAAACAACAGCATACGGTAAGACAGCGGCAGTTTCTATATCTCACCGGGTGGAAAGTCGCCTTTCAGCAGGGTCTTCCTCTTCAAAAACACCCACGGCTTGAGCTTCACCCCGTCCGCCGTGCACGCCAGCATCACGGTCACACGCTCCTTCTGGTAGCATCCACTCCTTATCGGCACCGACCGTACGCCCGTCTGCTCGACGGTGGTGGTGGCGGGCATCTCCAGCCACAGCGGCGTCTGGTCGGCGTTGATGATCCAGCAGTTCTCGATGTTGCGCTCGCGACGCATGGCTCGCACAAAACGCCAGAACAACTTGCATTGCGCCTCGACATCTATGAGAGGGAGTATGAACAGGCGGGATAGACGGCAGGTTAGTACGTGACAAAAACAAGGGGATAAAAAACCGGTGAACAAACTCTTACGAAAGGCAGTTTTCTGGGCAACCCGCGTCTTCATGCGGACGCTCAGATTCCACCTCTTACGAAACAGCTCCGACCACCTCTGACTCCCACGCCATTTGTCGTGCGGGTAGAGGTCCTTCATGAACTCCCGCAACCACTCCCGCAAACGGCCGACGGACACGGCGGTTCCTTTGCGGCGCCAGTCAAGGAGACGCTCGTACACCTTCAACTCCATCGGGCGGTACCACAAGGACCTCCCGCGACCGTGCATGCGCTTCCGTGCGGAGTGTGCTTCTTTGAGAAACGCCGCTGCGGCCTTCCAGTTGGCGAGACACTTTCGTTGAATCCCAAGGTCACGGGCCAGAGAGCGCTCCGACACCGCCCATCCATCAGCGCGACGTACTTCAACTTCTCCGCGGCGGTGTAGCCCTTACGCTTGTGCGCGCTGATCTTGTGCTTGGGAGAGGGGGGGCGGGCATCACGGTTCTGGGTAGACGGGTGGGGCCGCTTGCGGTTAGCTGGCGGAAACGAAGGTAACGGCAATTCCTTTGGGAGCCCGTCACGTGACCAGTATTCCACTCCGTCGTCGTCGTCGCCACCGGGAACACCCTCTGGAAAGACATCCTCGGCGGTGCCGCCTTGCGCGCCACCCTCCTCATCCTTCTCGCCGTCAGAACTGCTCGTTTCCTCGTTCTCAGCCACGGCGTCGTCAGCTCCGAGTGCAGATTCGTCCCACGTGGTGCAATCTTCGGGCCGGCCCCAATGTGGTCCAGTGTAAGGTGCGCCGTGAACCCACTCATCTGGGCCCTTGTTGCTTTCCAGTTCCTCCAGCCACTTGCCGAACTCAGACGGGGTCAGGAGCGTGAGCACGGGCGGACCCCCCATGTGCAGAGGACACTCCGGAATCGGCGGAGACGGAGGTAGAGGAGGCTGCGGAGGTGTTGGCGGCACAGGAGGAGCAGGAGGAGCAGGCGGCTCAGGAGGCGATGGAGGCTGAGGTGGCTCTGGTGGTTCAGCAGGGACACGGGTGTACCATCCGTCAGCGTCGACTACGTAGGCGGGTCTACGACTGGGCTTCTTCTTCAATAGCAAATGGGTGCCTGTGAATTCCGCCATGGCTGGCGCAGCCAGGCGGGAGAAATCAAGAAACAGAATGCCTTCACTGAATGAAACGAGTGCCCAAATGAGCAATTGGAGGGGACCCCTTCAGGTTTGCGGTGCGGGGTCCTCGTCGGGGAAAGACGACTGCCACCCTGCCTAAACCCGGAGAGGAGGGTATCGTGGCTCATTCTTGCCGCGCTGGCAGCATATTCCACCCCCTTCTAGAGGGTTCGGGTGGTTTGTTGCAGCCTGGCAGCGCATGACTCTCCTATTGGGCTGCACGGTAGGATGCACGTTACCGCTGGCAGGTGCGTTGCTCTGGAACAAGATTCGAGCGGTGGGAAATCGAAGCACCTCTATTTTCGCGGGATTTCCATGGACGAACGCATGCGCAGTGTACACAGTTGTGTTCGCCTTATTGTGGGCTTCAGTTTGGTACTCTTAAAAACTAAATTCAATTTTGCCATTACATTAGCGCCGGCGCTTATGGCCGTTACTCAATTACAAGCGCCACCCCTAAAAAATCAATACTTATTATAAGCGCATATGCGCTTTTATCCGGGGCCATACGGTATTCTCCTTTCATTGTTTTGAGACTTACAATACAAAGTATATGAACAGAAGGTAATAACAATATAATAGTACATTGAACTATCCAGCACAAGCATGTGCAAGCGGAAGAGCTTGCTGAAAAACACTTCTTTTCGCCAAGAAGTCGCTCACAAACTCCACCTTTCCCTTCTCAACATCATTACTTCTCCCCATCTTGGCAACTGATGCCGCATGCGCTTCCATACAAATCTTTCTGACAACATCAAATCCCTCTTCAGTGAGGGACACTGCTTCTAGAAGCTTCCATGCCCAGGCCTCAGAAGCATTGTCATAATCCTCCCGGCGCTTGCACACGATATGACCAGCGATTTCAAAAGACGCAGGGTTCACCAGTGTGTCAAGCAGCGCTTGGCTTATCTCGCCCCTTGCCTGCCTCTCTGCATATCTCTGCAAAGGGAAATGGAGGGGGAACGGGAGGAATTAGACCAGCTTATAACAACTGAGCAAAAGGCATAGAAGGAAACGAGAGATAACACCCAAACTTAATATGAAAGCGTGACACCAATTAAGGATGAAAAACGCACAAGAGGAAACAACTAACGACACCACGATGAACAAGGAGAAGAAACGCACCTGTGGAATGAGGAACAGCCGGGTGCCTTTGTCAACGATAAACAAGTTGAAGGGAATATTCCTTTCCTGGAGCTCGCAGCATGCCGCCGCAGCAGCTGACGCCATCTGCTCGATGCATGCACCCGCCTGGAAAACCAGCGTTTTCACGGGGTAATCAGTCAACTCTTCAACCTTGTACCCATTTGTTGAAACTGCAACTTCCTTAGAAGATGCACGCTCAATGGCAAAGGGCATGTCGAGAAAGTAGGCTTGGAAGTGCAGGTGGTTGATTGTTGCAAATGCGCCGAGGCTATTGTATCCGATCCTAAAGGCAGGGTCGTTGACTTCCGAGGCTAGCCGGAGAGCCATGAGGAGACTCGGCTCGTCTATACGTTGGGGAATTCTATCGAGGATGCGAGGAACCAGCAGCACGTGGCTGTAGTCAATGGGGGACACCTGAGGGCAACAAAACAAGCACAAACGGAATGAGTAAGCCCACAACGCCTGAAGAAATGGTCACAAGCATACAATTTCACTGAGAGACTGCTTTTGCTGGACCTAACCTAAGTGACATCAACAAAGCATACAACTTGGAAACAGAATCTCAAGAATTGGATTACAATCTAGGCTTACATTGACGGCTACGATGCTGGGGCTCTCCTCCACAACCGCCTCTTCATTGAAGCGGCTTTCCTCTTCCTCGCCTTCTTCAAAACGGAAGAGCATCTCATTCTGGCCGATCTTGGTGAAGTTGAATTTCGAGGGGTCAAACGGCTGCAGCACCTTGTCCATAGGGAATTCGGAGGGACGCTTCTTGGAGTGCCGCCCCTCGTTCAGCTTCGCAATGAAGCCCAGACGTCCCTCGATAACCTGCACCATGAACAACCAAATAATAGCATGTTTGAAAGTATTGCAAAAATCGGCAAATGCTTCTTGTACATTCACTTCATGTCTCCCTACATACAGCAGTCTGCACTTTTGGATGCAATGCGTTGGTCTGCTTCTTCCATCGGACATACCTTGGACTCGCACGCCGTTACGTCGTAACGGAACAACCCTTCCTGGAACTTCCGGTCCCACTGAACACGGCAGGAGGAGAGAACAGCAGGGAATGGGGAAATGAGGGGGAAGGGTGGAACAACAATATCAGGTTAAAACAGAACAGAGCTCTCCAACAAGCAACGAAACATATATGCTTCAGGACCACCAAACACGATGAGCTTGCAGAAGGTATTACCTCGGAGGTGATGTGCGCGCGAAGCGAGAAAGCCGATGTGTCTTGGTCGTCGTCGTGAATGTCGCTCGCACCGCCAGACAATGAAGACAGCGAGTCGGAGTCGTCCGACGATGACGACAGCGACTCGCGGATGGACAGCAGGTCGTCGTACGACGCCAAGCTAGATGTGCTTTGCGAACGCCTGGATCCCGGCGAGTGTAAAAACCCGGGCTGGAAGCAGCCTGGAACCCCGTCCATCTCCATGAAGGGCGACTGGATGCGGTCCGTCAAAGGCTTCAAGTTGGTGTACGGACGCTTCGCGTACGCGTACAGAGGCATGCGAGCACCTGGAGATAAAGACATGGAAGCAAGAGCACGGAAGGTGACGACACTGGGAGTCACTTATGAGAACTCTCAAAAGCGAGCACCAGATGAAGACATGGGAACAAGAGCACGGACGCTGGGCGTACGCTTACAGAGGCATGCGAGCACCTGGATTTACAGGCACAGAATCAACATGCAACAATGCTGAAAGAGAGTTAGTAGGCGAAAGGATATCAAGCCTCTGAACATGGGGTCTGGACTGGAGCATCACGACGGAATCTGAGAGAGAATTTGAGAGAATCAGAGGAAGAACGCGAGAGACCGAGAGAGAATCCGAAAGAATCCGAGAGAGAACCAGCGAACGAGAACAGGCTGTAGGGGAGAGCAGCGAGACTCCCCCTGAGGGGGCAGTCTGAACGTGGGGACTGGAGGTGGTATCGGGAGGTGAAATCGAACTCGATTAGTAGCAAAGCAGGCATTCAGTGAGCGGCGACATTTAACCAGGGTGGATCGGGTCGGGAGGTGGGGACGTACCAATGGTGCAGCAGGTATTCATACAGCGGCGACCGCAGCCCGCGGGCTGGTCCTCCTCCTGGTTAGTATTCGTCAGCATCTCACAAGGAATTCTGGGATGGACAACGACGAATGAGCCGCGACTGACTCCCCCACTTAATAGGTTAGCTGACTCCCCACTTAGGCTGTTCCTTAGCAGGTCACCGCCTCCTTAAACTGCACCTCAGGGAATCCCAAGCAGGCTAAACAGCGACTCGAACGCCTGCGGTTCAGTCTGCTAACACGGGGAGTGACGCCGCTACCACTACTATTCCTGACAGAAAAAGGATGTCTGACGGATCGCGAGCGAAACAGGACCCAGACACAGGAACGTGTGTGCGTAGTAGTAGTAACGGTGTCCCCGCGTTATCCACTGAAACGCGGTAGCCAATGTGCTGGCTCGGACGGCAGATCTGGAGCGACTGACGGCAGTGCAATCGCGAGTGGCCCACTCCCGAGGAGTCACAAGCAGCCGCTCAGATTAGGCTAATCTGAGTAACGCGCAGTCATCTCTCCGGATCTGAAACGGGCCGTTGATCACGGCGACGAGAACCGCAGACGCGGCGGCGAGAGACACTGGCTGGGCGTACTCGAGGAATCCTTTCAACTCAGCAAAGCGTCAGCAGTCTCCGAATGTGACTTCTCCCTGGGACGGGCCGTTGTGTTGCAGTCATCAGGGGGATGAAATCTGGGGGCTTCTGAAAAGCGTGTTGGTGAGCAAGAGGGAAGTGCTGGGGGAATGTTGCGAGCAACGAGACTCTGGTTGCTGCTGGAATGTGGGTGGTACGAGTGACGAGCGGTGGTTGTGGGGTGCTGGACGATCATCGTCGAATCAGGTGGCAGGAAACAACGCGCCATAGCGGTACATCCAACCACATCGCGAGGAAATCAATGGATCCTGTCCGAAGTGAAACGTCAACCGTTGAATCCTGACGGTCAGAATCCTCGATCCGAGGGTTGACATGCACCGACATTCAGCGACATCCAGTGACATATGTTCGGTCGGACACGCCCAACGACTGTCCACAAGATGTGCCGAGTCAACAGCGACTTCGGAAACGCCCAACGACTGTGCCTTCCCGCAAAATTTGCACGTCTCGCGCATCTCGCATGGGATCGTTCATTTGATTGGGGCCACTCATTTCTCGTCGACCCGACCGAGCAGAGCGGCAATCAGTGCCTTGGGGGGGCCTGGTAAAGCCGAGCGTGCGCCGGTCGCGCAGCCTGAGCGGCAGGCGAGCTGCAGTGGCTGGAAGGAGGCCAAGAGAAATAGCGTGCGCGAAAGTGACATGACGAGCCCATGATTCCCGACGTGACAGACTAGAAATAGGGAAAGTAGATTTGGCAGGGGTACTACTAGCGACCCTGCGCTTCGAAGGGGACTACAGTGCCAGTAGCGGGCACTTTCCACCCATCCGTGCCTCAGACAGGAATGGAAACAAGACAGTAATCTTCACCACATTCATCCACGTGTATAAACCTCAAAATTTTCATTCCTTCACGAGATTATGGAGAAAACAAGAGTGTCAGTGGTGATTCTTAAACTCTCTCAGATTACGGCCAGGACATGCTGGTTGTTTATTGATAGCCACGTAATGTGAGGGTGCCCTTCTCACCACAAAAAAAACCCTTACGGGTGTCCAAAAGCAAGTGTACGAAGGATGAAATTATCGGAGAATAGACAAATCGGACAGTCACTGAACAGAGAAGCAAATTCCTGCGACAAGGTTGGCCATCCGTACATCCGAACACACAGCCCCACCGTAAAAAGACACCTACTCGGCGACAAAGACAACAGCTGGCATGGCAGTCGTGATTGTGCTTCTGTCGGTGTGTGGGGACCGAACGGGCAGTTCACCTGTGGGCACACAGTGCACCTCTGTACTGTAGTTACAAAGTCAGCAGCAGGCAGAACCAAGTTGGGCAGTCGTTTTGTACAGTACAGCCAATATCAGCGTGTCCTTCCCACCCACACCACCGCCAAACGAAATGCTGCCCAGTGCCCAGCCACCACCACCACCTATGAAAGAGCTGCTTGCCGGCTTGTTCACGACAAACAAGTTGCATGCATTTGATACAGTCGATGCTCGGTCAATCCCGTGAATTTGCCCGTGCCAGATTGTGCCATATCCTTTCTGCATTCGGGCACAGGCAACGGCCCATCAGGTACAGTCCCATTTTGCGCGGTAAAACAGAAAAGGACATCTACAGATTTACAACTGCCCAGACACACCAAAGCAATGCCATCCCAAACTTTCCAGATATTTTGGAGATGTAACTACTGTGTTCATTACAGTCCCACATTTTCCCGTGGCGAAACCTGGCGAGCTGTCAAAATGCACGTGCTCGTTACAGTTTACTGCCGCCCCAAAAGGTGGCGTGACTCAAACAGGCATCATGTGTATTGGCCGATGGGAAATGAAAGCTTGCGGCTCCGTGAGAGCAGGAAAGTGGTACTGTACAGTAACGTGTCGTGTAAACAAAGAAAGCGATTCCGTGTCGTGACCTGGAAAGCGGTACACCAAAACTCCCCCAATCTCTTTCTCTCCAATTGAACTCGTGTTAAAATGGGTTAAGAATAATACGTCTTAATACATTTATGACCGTGGATGTGCCTATGTATTTTGCTAGTACATTTACAATCAACAAAAAAACGGGCATGTTAGTGGTGGAGATACTAGAGCATTAATACACCTAAAGAGCACAAAAGCAATCCGCACGACAATGCAAAACGTAGGGTTTCAAACACCGATGATAGCTATCTATAGGTGTGCATCGTGCAGGTACTCCATGCGTTTCGCAAAAGACACACATGATGTCCGGTACAGTCACACCAAATAGTCGGGTAGTATCGGACTGAAACAAATTTCATCGATTCGTCAACCTTTGCTCATGTCTTTTCGAGCAGTAAAGTGATGACGCATACAACTGACCGCCTTTGCTGTATATGAACTGTAAATGTTGGCTTCCTCAACTTCGTAACTGTACCTAAAAATTTGCACAATGGTCAATCTAATCACTCACGGGGAAAAACGTCCGCACGTCACCAGGTGAGCATCATCTAATTGTGATGAGCAAATTTACCAGGACAAGGTGAGCATCGTCTACATATGTTCAATTCAGTTCATTCGGTAAGGTCGAAATGACGGACTAGTGTCAAACTATGATGATGCTTGTGCTTTGCAAGCTGTAAAAGGGGTACCCCATAAGGGGTACAACCCAAATTAGGGTTAGCATTTGTACCCACTCTTGCATTCACTATCGCGCACTCTTCTCATCTGGTTTCAAAGCAGTAGGTCCGTAGGACCGTTTTTTTTTCCGCTGCAGCCCGTGCACCGCCCTGCTGGTCGCCCGCTGTCACTGCCTGCCCGCGCGCTGCCTTTTCGTGAGTGCACCACCCTACTATGGCTGCGCGCCGCCCTTCCGTGATCGTGTGCCGCACGCCCTACCCTACGCTCTACCCTAGGGCCTACTCGGAGTCCTACCCTCACTAAGTGCTGCCCTGGTGGTCGCACGCCTCCTTACTTGGCCTACAATAACTTCTCTTCATGATAGCAGTGGGAGCGGTGGCGGCGGTGGTGGCTGCAGTGGGAGTGGTGGTAACGGCCGTCGTGGCAGTCACGGTGGAGCTGTTCAGTGTGGAGTTTCTGGCGGTGGCCAGATGCAGCTACAGCGGCGTCCGAGCGAGACCCTTACGCGCCAGCAGCTTCGTGAGTGGTACGCCAGGTGGTGTGCTGGCGGCGGCCGTCGTGGCAGTCGCGGTGTAGATGTTCATTGCGGAGTTTCTGGCGGTGGTTAGATGCAGCTGCAGCGGCGTCCACGAGAAAACCTTTCGCGCCAGCAGCTTCGTGAGTGGTACGCTCAGAGTGGGGGGTCTAGGAGTACTGCCCGCTGCCCGTATGTGATTCGAACAGGTGATCGGGCTATTAAAACTTGCGGAAAACTTGGTGAAACACAGGCTCGCTGCTTCGTCTGTCTGAGTAATGCCTGGCGTGCAGTGTTTGGCGATGAGGCTGAGCTCCCCCCCTAGCTAGAGCTGCTGCGCAACAAGGTGGATATCTTTGCTCTAGACTATGACACTATCCTTATTGCTATGTATGCTCTGACTGGTAGTACTGAGGGTGACTGTTACCTGTGTGTGCCGCCCGACCCTGGTATAGAGGCTGCTGCTCTAGGTGCTAGTGAGTCTGCTCCCCCTGGTACTGCGCCTGCTGAGGCCTTGCACACCTTCATGCTTGACTCAGGTGCTTCCTACTGTTTCTTTCACGACAGTACCACAGTCACACCACTCCCTGCACCTGTTGCAGTCTCTCTGGCTGACCCCTCAGGGGGCCCAGTCCTTGCACGTTCCTCCACTGTTCTTCCGTGTCTGCCGGCTCCGTCTAGCTCACTGACAGGCCTTCACCTCCCCTCGTTCTCTACAAAATTGGTTAGTAACGCCATCCTTCAGAATGCTTGGGTTTATACCTTTACCCCTAGAGGACAGCGTGTGGCGATCTGCATGTGTGCACGAGCGGGCCGTCACCTAGCCACGTTCACCCGTCGGCCTGGGTCGAGCCTGTACACACTGACTACTGAGCCTCCCCAGGTAGCTGCGTCTGGTCAGGTGTCCGCGTCAGGTCAGGTAGCAGCCCCCTGCTCGTGTCGCCACCTCTCACACCAGACTGTCATCTGGCACTACCGTCTTGATCACCCCTCCCTGCCACGCCTCCGTAGCATGCACTCCCGCCTCCTTGTCTCTGGCCTTCCCAGGTCTCTGCCCCCCCCTCCCGTGCTCGCCTGCCCCGCCTTGCGTTCCTTTCGTCGAGGGGCGGCAGCGCGCCGCTCCTCACTCCTTTTCGTTTCCCCGACAGAGGCTCCTCTGCAGACTTTCCACATGGATGTGTGGGGCCTAGACCGCGTCCAGGGACAGGGCCGCGAGCAATACATTCTGCTGGTTGTTGACAACAACACGCGTTACACCACGGTCGTCCCCTTGCACAGTACGGGGGAGGTCCCTGATGTTTTGATCCCTTGGATCCGCGCTCGCCATCTCCAGCTCCGTAAGCGGTTCCGCACGGACCATCCTGTCATGCGTTTGCACTCTAACAGAGGTGGTGTGTTCTCCTCCGACCTCTTGTGGGACTTCTGTCATGGGAAGGGCATCCTCCTGTCATTCACGCTTCCGGCCTCCCCGCAGCAGAATGGGGTAGCTGAGCGCCGCATTGGCCTAGTCATGGAGGTGGCTCGTACCTCCATGATCAATGCGCCTGCTCCCCATTTTCTGTGGCCATTTGCGGTCCGGTATGCTGTACATCAGCTCAACCTCTAGCCCCGTGTCTCCTTGCCGGAGACCTCGCCTACACTGCGTTGGACGGGGGAGGTTGGCGATGCGTCGGTGTTCCGGGTCTGGGGCGCTCGTGCCTTTGTCCGCGATACCTTTGTGGACAAGCTCTCCTCCCACGCCATTCTCTGTGCCTTCCTTGGCTTTCCCCCTGACGCGCCTGGTTGGCAGTTTTACCACCCCACCTCGCGCCGTGTCTTGTCCTCTCAGGACGTCACGTTTGACGAGTCGGTTCCCTTTTACCATCTCTTCCCCTACCGCACTGCCCCTCTCCCCGCCCTGCCACGCTTCCTCACTCCAGGTCCCCCTCCGGTAGACTCCCTTCCCCCTTTAGGGTCCTGCTCCTTCAGGTGTGTCTCAGGTAGACCCACTCCCCTTGGTTGAGCCTGTCATGGTCATTGGTGACTCAGGTGCTGTTAGGAGTGGTACTGCTCGAGGTGATTTGTCTGAGGGTGCTGAACCTGTGGGTGCGGAGACTGGGGGTGCTGAGCCTGGAGGTACGGAGCCTGTGGGTGCGGACCCTGGGGGTACTGAGCCTTGGGGTTCTGAGCCTGAGGGGACCGAGCCTGAGAGAGCGGAGCCTGGGGGTGCTGAGCCTGGGGGTACTGAGCTTGAGCGAGCGGAGCCTGGGGGTGTTGAGCCTGGGGGTGCTGAGCCTGCGGGTGCGGAGCCTGGGGGTGCTGAGTCCTGGGGTGCTGAGCCTAGGGGTACTGCGTCTACACTACGTGAGCCTCGCTCATCACAACAGCTGCGCGAGTGGTACACTCAGCGCTACTGCCGCCTTCGGAGTGGCGCTGCTGGAGCTGGAGGCCCTGGAGCTGCTAGTCCTGGAGGTGCGAGAGGTACTACTAGAGGTGCTGGAGGTACTGGAGGAGCTAGAGTTGTTAATCCTGGAGGTGCTCGTACTGGAGGTACTGGAGCTGCCGGAGCTGGTGGTGCTGCCAGTACTGGTGGTGCTGGCACTACTAGTCCCGGAGGTGCTCGTACTGGAGGTACTAGAGGTGCTCTCTCACCACAGCAGCTGCGCGAGTGGTACACTCAGCGCTACCGCCTTCGGAGTGGCGCTGCTGGAGCTGGAGGCACTGCGGCTGGAGACGCTGGAGCTGGAGGTACCATGGAGCTAGAGCTGCTGGTCTCGAAGGTGCTAGTTTGGGAGGTACTGGAGCTGCCGGAGCTGGTGGTGCTGCTGGTGCTGGAGGTGCTGGTGGTACTGGCACTGCTGGTCCCGGAGGTGCTCGTACTAGAGGTACTGGAGCTGTCGGAGCTGGTGGCGCTGCGGGCTCTGGAGCTGGAAGCGCCGGCGCTGGAGGCGCTGGAGCTACTGGCGCTAGCACTGGAGCTACTGGAGCTGGAAGCGCTGGAGCTAGAGGCGCTAGAGCTGGAGGTTTTGGAGCTGCTGGAGGAGTTGGAGCTGCTGATACTCATACTAGAGGTGCTGGTGCTGGTGGTACTAGTGCTGCACAGCCGCGATTGTTCTTCGCTTCGCAGTCACCGTCGTCTCTGCCACCGCCTGACTCGGTGCTTCGTCAGGTTCTTAGCCTCCCGTCTTCTACTGGCCTCCCGTTACAGCCAGGCTCCCCACTACCTGCTCCTTCTCCTTACACTGAGCAGGCAGACTCGATTAGAGAGCGTCGTGAGCCTGCGTCTCGTCCTGCCTCGCCTGTTCGCGCTGCTCGCACTGGTAGCCGTGTTTCTCGTCCGCGTCCTCCTCCTGTCCCTGACAATTTGTCCTTCCTCTATTCCACAGCGTGTCCCCCTGCCGTCTCCTCCTGCGTCCTCTCTTCCGCACGTTAAGGGCCTTAAAGATAGGGTCTTAAGTACTGCGAGTGCTTTGCAGTTGATGGTAAAAGTTTGGCTGTGATTGGTTAGCGAACTAGAAAGTTTGAAGTGGGTTGAAGCGAGGGGTGCGAATCAATCTCAAATCGCTGGTTGTACCCAAACCTTCTAGGCTTGGAAACTTGGCTCGGAGCCAAACCTAAAATGCCCCCAACTCATCGAAAGTCTCAAGTACTCAGAAGTATTGTGCAATCGCTTCTGGGTGAGTCGCAAGCCTGTTTTTCAACCCAACCAAAAACTAGGTAACCTAGGTAACCTAGCTTCAACTGTTTTGCAGTTGACGGCCTCTTAGCTTACGTGAGACCCTGGCTTTAAGTCTGACCTGGTTCGTGCTGCCAGCCCTACTGTCACGCGTCTCCTAGCCACTGTTGTCACTGACCCTTCGTTTGAGTCCACTGCTGCGTCTGCCTTAGTCGCTGAGCTTGTTGACTTTGCTGCTGCTTGTTATCTCGACTACGCCGCTAGTCTGGTTGCTTAGTCTGAGTCTGATTGTCCTCCGTCTGTCAGGGATGAGTGTGTTCTTGGCACGGACGTCCTTGAGGACAGGCAGGAGGACTTTGAGTGTCTTGTGGCTGCTGTACCTCATCTCGTGGCCATGCTGCTTGCACCTGAGGCAGACCATGATGCATTGGACATCCCGACCCCGCGCTCTTACGCTGAGGCGATTTTGGGTCCCTACTACTCTCATTGGCAGATAGCCACGGACACAGCAATGGCATCCTGGAAGTCCACAAGTAGTTCCCCCTCCTGGGGCAAGCATAATCGATGGCATGTGGATTTTCAGGGTGAAGCGGCCGCCGGGTTCTCCGCCTGTCTTCAAGGCTCGTTACGTCGCACGAGGCTTTAGTAAGCGACAGGGAGTTGAATTTTTTCATACCTTCTCCCCTACCCCGAAGATGACCACTCTTCGGGTGCTGCTGCACGTTGCCGCTCAGCGTGACTACGAGCTTCACTCTCTTAACTTCAGCACAGCTTTCTTACAGGGCAGCCTGCACGAGGAGATCTGGCTGCGCCGTCCACCTGGCTTCACTCGGTTGTTTCCTGCAGGTACCCAGTGGAGCCTCCGACGGCCAGTCTACGGTCTCCGCCAGGCGTATTGCGAGTGGCACGACACACTGAGGACGACACTTGCGGCGCTTGGGTTTGCTCCTTCGACTACAGACCCGTCGCTGTTTCTCCGCACCGACACTTCGCTGCCGCCATTCTACATCCTCGTGTGCGTCAACTACTTGGTTTTGCCACTGCTGACACTGAGGCACTCGCCCTGGTGAACTCAGAGCTGCAGAAGAGACAGACGTGCACAGACCTGGGTGAACTGACAAGCTATCTTGGCTTGCGGATCACCCTGGACAGAGCACAGCGCACCATCACCCTGACTCAGTCACGCATGGTGCACCAGGTTCTTCAGCGCTTCGGCTTCACTTGGTCCTCGCCACAGTCCACTCCTCTGGCTACCGGTCACTCGCTCTCAGCTCCACCTTCGGACGAGTCCGTAGAGCCAAGTGGCCCGTTTTTAGAGCTTGTGGGCTGCTTCATGTACCTGATGACCTGCACTCGTCCTGACCTTGCGTACCCTCTTGGCATTCTTGCACGCTACGTGGCTTCTGGTAGACACCGAAAGAGAATAGGGTACTGCGTTACTTGTGCAGTACATCGGGCATGGGGCTCGTGCTTGGAGGGCGGGGTCCAGTTGTCCTCACTGGACACTCAGACGCGTCTTGGGTTGACGACCTGACTACGCAGCGGTCGTCACAGGGTTACACGTTCAGCCCTGGCTGTGTTTCTTGGCAGTCTACCAGCTCTTCTTTTGTTCTCACCTCCAATTGTGAGGTTGAGATCTACGTAGATCTCAGCGTTTTTGGCTAGTGATCATCAGCGTTTCTGTACTGCTTTAGGCCTTGTGCCTGCTTCGTTTCACCTGCTCACTGCATGACTTTGCTTGTACTGTGATCTATATATACACCAGCATGCTTACTCTTGCTAGTTAGTGATCAATGTACGGTTTTCTACAAAGAAACATGTATTTTTCATCTCATACACTCGAAAAAATGCTTGGGTTACATTGTATTTGGGGAGGTTTAGGGAGTCTTATAAGTCTTATAAATGGATATAAAGTCGTTTAGAAGATACCCCCTCGTTATACAATTGCCCCTAACCTTTACAATGTCTTAACTCATACACATAAAAAATATGTCTTATAATGAAGCTAGCCTATTTATAAGAGACACCCGGATAATAGACAACCCCTGTCTACTATTCAAGACTGTCTACGATTTGGGTAATGTTGGCAACTCTTCATGTGATCTGGCCTTGTGACCATTTGCTTGTGGTCACTTCGTGATCCACCGTGAGCTTGCTTTGCTTTTCTTGACTGGTCTTGTGACCACTGGTTCTCCCCCACTTTGCTTATGGGGGTGTGTCAAACTGTAATCATGTTTGTGCTGTGTAGGCTGTAGTGTACAACACAATTAGGGTTAGTACTTGTACCCACATTTTTGCTCAATGCAACTATTCCTGCTCGTTAGTTTCTGACAGTGTCAAATGTTGTAGACTGTAGTGAGGCTTGTCTTATGGGGTACAAATGTTAGGGTTAGGTATATGTATTCCAACCCACATCAATACAACAACAATTTAGTTCTTGATAGAAAGTGTCGAGACTAAATAGGGGAAAAGCTAGCTAGGCGAAGAGATCGGGCGAGGTTGGCTCGGAAAGCGTTGCGATTGGAGCGGGGGCGACTCGGTAGTGGTTTGGATGCAAATTTGTAGGCCGAAAGTGAGGGTCGTGTGGCCCTCGAGATGTAATTGAAGTCAAAGCCTGATGTATGGGGTGGGGGATAAACAGGGCTAAAGTCATAGACACCGGGTGGAAGGGGGGCATTATTCCAACAGAAAAGGACGAAGACAGGCAACTGATGGGGTGATGATATGAAACAACACGAATTGTCAAAACGCAGAGCGAGTCAACACAACAGCACTTACCTGGCAGCTTCCCGCGGTAGAGCTTGTGCAGTTTGCCCAGCCAGCGCTTGAACGCCTCCACGCGCTTGGTGTCGTCCGTGAGATAAGAGGCGATGCGGAACAGCTTCGGCCCTTCCAGGTTGGCGAGATCATGCATCCGCCACTCCAGCTCCTCATCAACCGCGCGGACGAACTTCAACAAGAGCTCATAGCATGTTGTAACGTCGCTGTCCGTTTCATGCCCTTTCAACTGCTGCTTGTGCAAGATGAACGAGAACTTAACGGGATTACCCTCAGAGTCAACGCCTTCAGCTTCCATCTCGCGGTTCTCCTACTTCTGGTGCTTCTTAAAGAACTCGGAAAGAGTCATGTGCTCTCCGCTTCCAAACATGTGTCCAGGAGCCGAGCTCAGTTATCACGCCTTCAAGCACATCCGCTTCTGCTCCAATCGTGACAATCGTGACATCGATCTGCAAAAAATAAAAAGACGTTAGCGAGGATGGATTCATACAACCATTGCACATTTTGATATGTGTTGAGCGACATACATGTCGCTGCTAAAAGCGCGGGTTCAAGTGGTTCAACTCCCACAAGACAAAAACCAAAAAGCGAATCATCCAATGAAACTTGAACGAGGTCACAACCTCGTACAAGTTAGGGCGGTACTCCTGGAGCACAACGATGGTGGCCGGCAAGACCTCGAGGAGACGGGAAATGGCCTCGCCACGCGACACCTAGCGGACGGTGTTATTTCCATGTGCCTCCAGATTCGTCTTGCAGGATACTTGCTGTATATTTTGAAACTTCTGGTACACACGCTGCTTCTCCCTAGGAGCTCGGAAAATGCACGGACAACCTCGTTGACCATGTTCAGCTCAGGGACAGCTGCTGCAGCATCTTTTACAGCGGGTGCCTCCCTGCACGGACACAAACAAAGTACATGTGTTAGTACCAATCTATGCACCAATGTTCAAACTAGCAAACATAGACAAGCTTACCGATGCGCGATGCAATGCGTTGACGCAAGGTGAGGTATCCGTAATCTGAGCCGGGCCACCACTCCATTGTTCTTCCCCACCATTACGCTCGCTTCATCGGTCGCGATGCCTGTTATTTTCTGCAAGGTAAGAAACTTGTTGACCACAGTCCTGTTCTTGAGGTACGTGACGTAGATGATGAGATGTTTCCCGTGGATGCGGTCAGTGCTTTCGTCGAGCGACAGGGAGATTCAGGGCGACTCCAGAAGGTGTAGCCGCTGTGTCTCCTGCAGGTACATGGCTGTCGTACGAAGGCACTCCTTGAGACCGTAGTTGCAACACAAACATTCAACAGTGACGGTCATTAACAGTCAATAACAATCAATGTTAAAACATTACAAGCAAAACACAACAAACTTACTCTGTCTAGTAGGCACTGTAGCCACCGTTAGAGGAAAGACCTGAATGACCCTCTTCGCGAGAAACCAGCACAGAGGGACGAACATCGCGATGGGGCGTCGACCTTGCAAATGAACAACGCGATATGCAGGCAGCGGATGATGTTGCGCGTAGACGAATCCGTCTCATGCCACCTTATCAAAGTCGCTTGCTTCTCCTTAGCTGCAAGTGATCGAGCCTGGTTCTCCAGCGGCTGCTTATATGCTCGGGTAGACGAGTGAACACGAATGGAACCGATTTGCAAGTCACGGCCACCCTCACCCTTAGCGCCGTAGACGGTGCGTGCGGTAGGATCCCCGTGCTGAACGCAGATCTTACATTTCAACGACGGCCTCCTGTTAGTCTAGCGATGTAACAGCAACCAATCGAATTTCCCAGCCCACTTAGTGTCATACCTGTGCTTGTACGCTGCGTACTCAGCTTCTTCTGTGGCGGTTGATGGTTTGGGATCGGCAGGAGGTTCTGTACGTGTCGGTGATGCATCCTTCCTTGGTGGCGGAGCGCCCTAGAGCCTTTGTTGAGTGTATTTCACCCCGACCTGCGGCCTTTCGCCTGGCGTGCTGTTTACCGTGGAAGGGGACGCAGTTGAAGGCCTCGAGCTACCTTCATCGCTGCCAGGAACAAGATCCAGAGACGGTTGTGGCTCATGAGCACTAGGTGACTGGGCCCACTCGACTGGAAAGACATAGCCGATGCTTCGCACGAGCGAGGCGTTACGAGAAGGCTGTGCGATAGAAACGGTGAAGTTCCGAGATAGGTTGGGAAGAACGCTAAGACTGAGAGCCCGTTTTTTGGGCCCCCAGGCGGTTCCTGCTCTTGCTCGGCTGGCTTGACAGATTGGTGCTACTCCGTGAGACCTCGGGGAAGTGCAAGAGAGGCGAGGAAAGTGGGGTCCCTTTGGGAACGAATGACCCCCGCCGCACCACGCATAGCTGTCCGTGAAGCGAGGCGCTGCATGGCAAAATGTCAGGCGATGGCGTGCCAATAGCAGCTCTGACAAGACGAGCCACGCATTGCGGCAGAGTTACCGTGCTGTCCCAAAAACAGACATTCCTGGCAGGGACTATGAGCTGTATAGGCAGCATCCACGGGTGCGCTGGCAGGAATCTTGCCAAACACACCAATGAGTGCAACGTTGGTGTCAACCGGGGGGTTTGGCATTTTCTCACCACAAGGCGGTGCGACAAAATGGGGGAGTGGCCGCATGTCAAAACTGCTGTGTATGTGTAGTGTAGCAGAATCCTCGCTTACAAGGACTCGGTATCTGTTAGAAACAATAGGAGTGGGGCCTAGGCTTAGTATGTCAGAGGTCCACTGGGGATCCCCGATGATCCTAGGGAAGGGTTACAGGCACGTCGGCCTGGGGGGTTATGGGCGCACTCACCCGCTATATAAACAAGCCCTTTTATCCCAGTGGTTAGTGACTGGGATTCTGACATGGTATCAGAGCGAAGGTCTCGGGTTCGATTCCCGGTGTGTGCACTTCGGGCATCCCAGTGCGGGGGGGTGTCAGAGGTCCACTAGGGATCCCCGATGATCCTAGGGAAGGGTTACAGGCACGTCGGCCTGGGGGGTTATGGGCGCACTCACCCGCTATATAAACAAGCCCTTTTATCCCAGTGGTTAGTGACTGGGATTCTGACATAGTAGCCTAGGCCCACACTAAGAGGTAGTAGGATGTGCCCTAGGACTAGGGTTTTGGGTATGCGAAGGAGAATTGGAGAAGAGAGAATGGAGAATGGTGGGTTGAACTAGCAAGCAGGAGGACACAAAATAGCAAACCCTAAGGGGTTGTACTCACTATTGAGCACCCCACTGCAGGCTAGACAAATAACATAATCTGACACACCCCCATAGCCAAAGTGGGGTGTAATCAGCACAATCAGCAGTCACAGCAAAAGTTCACAATTATCAGCAAAGCTAGAGGCTATCACAGAGGGCAAGTGAGGAGGAGGAGGAACTGTGAAGGGAGAGAAGATTGGAGACGACGACTGAAGCTGCAGACACACAGGCGCAGCAGGCTCTCTGAGCTACCAGGACAGTGCGCCCCGGACTACAGGTGCTGCAGCCTCCTCCAACTGTCCCACACCCCCCTACACACATCCCCTGTTTCACCTCTAGCTCCACTCCCACATCACCCCCCTAGCGCCACTCCCTTCGGCTCCCACACGAAGGAGGAGGAAGGGACGACGCACACGGAGCACCCCCATACCTGTCACCCCCACACTCCTGTCCTGGGGACGGGGGGGGGGGGGCAGCAGAACAGAACAGAGCGCACGAGGGCGCGGGCAGCAGCAGGGCGCACGAGGGCGCGGGTAGTAGTAGAGCGCACGAGGGCGCGGGTAGTAGTAGAGCGCACGAGGGCGCGGGCAGCAGCAGGGCGCACGAGGGCGCGGGCAGCAGCAGAGCGCACGAGGGCGCGGGTAGTAGTAGAGCGCACGAGGGCGCGGGCAGCAGCAGGGCGCACGAGGGCGCGGGCAGCAGCAGAGCGCACGAGGGCGCGGGTAGTAGTACACACGAGGGCGCGGGTAGTAGTAGAGCGCACGAGGGCGCGGGCAGCAGCAGGGCGCACGAGGGCGCGGGCAGCAGCAGGGCGCACGAGGGCGCGGGTAGTAGTAGAGCGCACGAGGGCGCGGGTGAGACAGAGCGCACGAGGGCGCAGAGAGCACGGGCAGCTGCTGCAGAGGTCCAGAGGCGGCTGCTCCAGGGGCCAAGGGCGGCTGCTGCAGGGGCGGCTGCTCCAGGGGCCAGGGGCGGCTGCTGCAGGGGCGGCTGCACCAGGGGCGGCTGCTGCAGTGGCGGGCGACTCCAGGGGCGGCTGCTGCAGTGGCGGGCGGCTCCAGGGGCGGCTGCTGCTGTGGCGGGCGACTCCAGGGGCGGCTGCTGCAGTGGCGGGCGGCTCCAGGGGCGGCTGCTGCTGTGGCGGGCGACTCCAGGGGCGGCTGCTGCAGTGGTGGGCGGCTCCAGGGGCGGCTGCTGCAGTGGCGGGCGACTCCAGGGGCGGCTGCTGCAGTGGCGGGCGGCTCCAGGGACGGCCTGCCTGCTGTGGCGGGCGACTCCGGGGCGGCGGCGGCAGTGGCGGGCCGGGGCGGGAACGGGGGGCCGCGGGCGACGGGAACGGGGGGCCGCGGGAGACGGAACGGGGGTCCGCGGGCGACGGGAACGAGGGGCCGCGGGCGACGGGAACGGGGGGGCCGCGGGCGACGGGAACGGGGGGCCGCGGGCGACGGGAACGGGGGGGCCGCGGGCGACGGGAACGGGGGGCCGCGGGCGACGGGAACGGGGGGCCGCGGGCGACGGGAACGGGGGGCCGCGGGCGACGGAAATGGGCCGCGTGGCGAGGAAACGGCGCGGGGCGACGCGGGGGAACGGGGCAGAAAGCCGCGCGCGCGCCTCGGGGCGCACGGCGGGCAGAAAACCGCGCCGCTCCGAGCGCGCGGCGGGATGAAAAATCCGTCGCACGCCACGGGGCGTGCAACACACAGAGTAGCAGTAGCAGCGGAAGCAGTGAGGTGGTGGGCCCGTTGAGGTAAGCGGCAAAAACGTGCTCGCTCTGGATACCATGTTAGAAACAATAGGAGTGGGGCCTAGGCTTAGTAGCCTAGGCCCACACTAAGAGGTAGTAGGATGTGCCCTAGGACTAGGGTTTTGGGTATGCGAAGGAGAATTGGAGAAGAGAGAATGGAGAATGGTGGGTTGAACTAGCAAGCAGGAGGACACA